GTAACTACACATACCACTCCCTGTACCACTATTGTAACTACACATACCACTCCCTGTACCACTATTGTAACTACACATACCACTCCCTGTACCACTATTGTAACTACACATACCACTCCCTGTACCACTATTGTAACTACACATACCACTCCCTGTACCACTATTGTAACTACACATACCACTCCCTGTACCACTATTGTAACTACACATACCACTCCCTGTACCACTATTGTAACTACACATACCACTCCCTGTACTACTATTGTAACTACACATACCATTCCATGTACCACTATTGTAACCACACATACCACTCCCTGTACCACTATTGTAACTACACATACCACTCCCTGTACCACTATTGTAACTACACATACCACTCCCTGTACCACTATTGTAACTACACATACCACTCCCTGTACCACTATTGTAACTACACATACCACTCCCTGTACCACTATTGTAACTACACATACCACTCCCTGTACCACTATTGTAACTACACATACCACTCCCTGTACCACTATTGTAACTACACATACCACTCCCTGTACCACTATTGTAACTACACATACCACTCCCTGTACCACTATTGTAACTACACATACCACTCCCTGTACCACTATTGTAACTACACATACCACTCCCTGTACCACTATTGTAACTACACATACCACTCCCTGTACCACTATTGTAACTACACATACCACTCCCTGTACCACTATTGTAACTACACATACCACTCCCTGTACCACTATTGTAACTACACATACCACTCCCTGTACCACTATTGTAACTACACATACCACTCCCTGTACCACTATTGTAACTACACATACCACTCCCTGTACCACTATTGTAACTACACATACCACTCCCTGTACCACTATTGTAACTACACATACCACTCCCTGTACCACTATTGTAACTACACATACCACTCCCTGTACCACTATTGTAACTACACATACCACTCCCTGTACCACTATTGTAACTACACATACCACTCCCTGTACCACTATTGTAACTACACATACCACTCCCTGTACCACTATTGTAACTACACATACCACTCCCTGTACCACTATTGTAACTACACATACCACTCCCTGTACCACTATTGTAACTACACATACCACTCCCTGTACCACTATTGTAACTACACATACCACTCCCTGTACCACTATTGTAACTACACATACCACTCCCTGTACCACTATTGTAACTACACATACCACTCCCTGTACCACTATTGTAACTACACATACCACTCCCTGTACCACTATTGTAACTACACATACCACTCCCTGTACCACTATTGTAACTACACATACCACTCCCTGTACCACTATTGTAACTACACATACCACTCCCTGTACCACTATTGTAACTACACATACCACTCCCTGTACCACTATTGTAACTACACATACCACTCCCTGTACCACTATTGTAACTACACATACCACTCCCTGTACCACTATTGTAACTACACATACCACTCCCTGTACCACTATTGTAACTACACATACCACTCCCTGTACCACTATTGTAACTACACATACCACTCCCTGTACCACTATTGTAACTACACATACCACTCCCTGTACCACTATTGTAACTACACATACCACTCCCTGTACCACTATTGTAACTACACATACCACTCCCTGTACCACTATTGTAACTACACATACCACTCCCTGTACCACTATTGTAACTACACATACCACTCCCTGTACCACTATTGTAACTACACATACCACTCCCTGTACCACTATTGTAACTACACATACCACTCCCTGTACCACTATTGTAACTACACATACCACTCCCTGTACCACTATTGTAACTACACATACCACTCCCTGTACCACTATTGTAACTACACATACCACTCCCTGTACCACTATTGTAACTACACATACCACTCCCTGTACCACTATTGTAACTACACATACCACTCCCTGTACCACTATTGTAACTACACATACCACTCCCTGTACCACTATTGTAACTACACATACCACTCCCTGTACCACTATTGTAACTACACATACCACTCCCTGTACCACTATTGTAACTACACATACCACTCCCTGTACCACTATTGTAACTACACATACCACTCCCTGTACCACTATTGTAACTACACATACCACTCCCTGTACCACTATTGTAACTACACATACCACTCCCTGTACCACTATTGTAACTACACATACCACTCCCTGTACCACTATTGTAACTACACATACCACTCCCTGTACCACTATTGTAACTACACATACCACTCCCTGTACCACTATTGTAACTACACATACCACTCCCTGTACCACTATTGTAACTACACATACCACTCCCTGTACCACTATTGTAACTACACATACCACTCCCTGTACCACTATTGTAACTACACATACCACTCTGTTCCACTATTGTAACTACACATACCTCTCCCTGTACCACTATTGTAACTACACATACCACTCCCTGTATCACTATTGTAACTACACATACCACTCTCTGTTCCACTATTGTAACTACACATACCTCTCCCTGTACCACTATTGTAACTACACATACTACTCCCTGTACCAATATTGTAACTGCACATACCACTCCCTGTACCACTATTGTAACTACACATACCACTCCATGTACTACTATTGTAACTACACATACCACTCACTGTACCACTATTGTAACCACACATACCACTCCCTGTATTGTAACTACACATACCATTCCATGTACCACTATTGTAACCACACATACCACTCCCTGTACCACTATTGTAACTACACATACCACTCCCTGTACCACTATTGTAACTACACATACCACATCCTATACCACTATTGTAATTACACATACCACTCCCTGTACTACTATTTTAACTACACATACCACTCCCCATACCACTATTGTAACTACACATACCACTCCCTGTACTACTATTGTAACTACACATACCACTCCCTGTACCACTATTGTAACTACACATACCACTCCCTGTACCACTATTGTAACTACACATACCACTCCCTGTACCACTATTGTAACTATATGCATTGGAATATTTTTTTTCTTCCATGACTAGCTTTGATAAATCATTTCTGAAGGGACAAAAAACGGGTTTTAGTAATCCAGTTTACTGCTAGGGATCAATGTCCAATGGTAAATATTGCATCCTCAGTCTTTCTATATCCTTCATCGCCTTTGCGCTTTACAACTTGGGACGCATACGACCACTTTAATATGTGAACTGGTCAGGTGATTAGTGGACAACTTGGTTCCCACACAACACGGACGATACTTTTGAGTCCCCTGACACCACTAGGGATCAATATCCAAGGGTAAATGTTGCACCCTCAGTCATTCCTACATACTTTATGGGTCTTTAATGAAAAAATATTGAAGATGAAATGATCAACGAGTTAAAAATTTAGTGGGAGTAGACTGGGATTGAAACCCAGGAAACTGAGGGAGCTACCTGATAAACAGATGTGTCCTGTCCTAACTGTCCTGCAGTTATATCCAAAGTTACTGTATATACAGAAAAAACACAGTGCAGTGGATTTGATTTATCAAAGCAATAGTCATGCCAGGAAAAACAGTTTCATAAATTTAGTTAGAGTCTAGGGCCACGGGACAGGGATCCTGAAAAATTAAATTCATATTAACTCATTCACCCCTGATGACACATTTGAACTCTTACGATTCAAAGGTTGGAATAGTTCATTATGAAATTTCAGGGGTGAATGAGTTAAGGTTGATAAAAGTATAGTCTTAGTTGAGCTGATTAACATGTATGGTTTAGGTATAAGTTACCTAATGGAATAAAAGGGAGGTAACTCAGACAATAAAAACAAGCTGAATAATTGGACAACTCAGGAGTAGTGGTGGCTGGATTAATGTAGGTTGACAGTATGAAGAAATGTCTTTTTCTGTTCCTTTAGTATTTTAGTTTCAGTGTGTTTGGTCCAGAGACTTAATCTATAATCTAATTTTCATCAAACTTTATACAAAACTAAAGCACTAGTTCTCCTCATACAAGTTAGTTTTTTCAGTGGCCCTAGGTCACTGTGATTATGTATTAACTATAATTTGCATTAAAACTTTACTGACAATGTAATTCAGCCCCACTTGGCAACAGTAGAACTTTTTCATTTCATCACACACTGCCAGTTATAGCAGACCAAACAATTCAGTTCAGGACTCCCAGTATATAAATAATACTTATATCAGCCTACAACAAATGTTTAAGCCAATATTTTTTCAAATCTAATTTATAGTAAATTGAGCCACATGACAAGAAAACACTTGATTATTGCTTGGTGAGTGGGATGTTACACCCATGTACAATTTCTTTGATAGGCTTGAGCCTCTACTAGGTAGAATAAATGAGGACCCAACTGCCATGCTCTGCCCAGAGATCGACTTGATCGACAAAGACACGCTACAGTACGGTGGCACAGGAAGCTACTCCGTCGGCGGGTTTTGGTGGAGTCTTCACTTTTCGTGGCGTCCGATTCCTAAACACGAAAAGGAACGTCGCAAATCCGATGTTGACCCCATTAGGTACAGTTTCGTGCTGTAACGTCACTATTAATAGAACCTTTGATTTTGGCTTTCAGGTGGGGTCGGTGCTGTTGTCTCTGAAGCTGTCGGGTGTCGGTACTTGTAAACGTACTCTATCACTAGAAAATTTTGATGAAAGTCTGTGGCCTGTGCAGTTGGTTGTTTCTTTGAAGTACAGTCATTCAAAATTGATAGCATTTTAGTAACATCGAATTATAATAATTTCCTAAATTTGTCATAGTATTTTGCAAAGAATTTCTGTTGGTTGATATTGCAGATCAGTATTCTTCTGTACTTTCAAAATTGACAAGCCACTGCCTTGATCTGCAGATTTTTCATCAAAATTTGTAGTTTAGGTTAAGAAGGTGCTTTTGACTTTTTTTATGACCTCCATCTTGACCTCTTTTGACCTTTAGGATAGAGCCGCTGCTGGGCAGAATCCAGGCTAACCCCCAGGCCATTTTGTGTCCTATAGTGGACGCTGTTGATGCTGATACCCTTGAGTACTCTGGTAACGGGGGTTACCAGGTAGGGGGGTTCTCTTGGAGCATGCACTTCACCTGGCGGAATGTTCCGGAGCGGGATACAGTCTCACGGAAATATACAGATCCCGTGGGGTACGCTTTCCCGAAGGCTTTGTTTATAATAAGCTCTTCGTAAATCAGTGTGGCTTTCATGACGGATATATTTCATTTAAGTAGCTCCTGTAGGGAAAACTTTGTTTTGAAATTAAATTTCATTTTATAGTATAATTTTAAACAATACCTTACAGATATATACAGATCCTGTAGGGTGTGATTCCCAAAAGGCTACCTTTATTAGCTCTTTGCCATTTAGTATTGACTTTCATGAAGAAGTTAGTAAGCAGCTGCATGCGGTAGGGAAATCTCTGACTAGAAGTTATCTTTTAGTTGAGATTTCACTACATCAAAAGCCACGAAACGGATCAAGTGTTTTTGACCCAAAATGACAATAGTGACAGAAATTTTGGACTATTTCTACAGTATATAAAAGCCATCATGAGGTTGTCAATTTCGACTACTCCATAGAATAGCTTTTATGAGATCGTCAGTTTGGATTAGAATGACTTTCATTAGGTCAAATTTGTCCACATGAATGACTTTGATGACTTGGTTTGTTTTAGTGGTCAAATGTATGAAAATATTGTTTTTTTCCCCCTGAAGATCCTTTAGGCATATCATAGTACCTCTTGTTATGTAGCTTTAATTTGTATACAAGTACCCGGTAGTCATAATTTTGTGAAAATGGTGCTGTATTTCCTATGAACGGCAAGAGACCACTGCAGAAAGCAGGAAGAATTTATACACAATACTGTACAATGGTTTGGGAATCGAACTGTTAGTGTTTAGATTGTTGCATTTCAATTCATTATGAGCATTGCTTAGCATTGGTGCTACAACTGTAAGTTTAACCCTTTCACCCCTAGGCAACTTTAGTAGACTCTACCATACATTTATCTGGATGAGTCCATTGTGGTCCACAGTGGTGAAAGGGTTAAATGTTGATACTGTTAAAACCAGAACCCTGTACCTACATTGAACTAGCTTTGTTTGGTAGGTTGGTGGTACAGGGTTTAATGTCCTGTCAACAGCTGAAGTCTTTAAGGACGTGCCTGCATGTGTGTTGTGTGAGGGCGACGGTCTGTTTATGTATTTGCTCCTTATATTAGTGGGGATCTAATGCTGATTTTATAGTGCTACCTCACTGAAATACCATGCTGAAGGCACCCAGCGTAGCAATCCTGTCCGTAACATTATACTTAAAACGAGTGAACAAGTTGTTGCCATTTTTGGAAATGTTGAAAGCTTAAGCAGGCTGAGGGGCTTTGGTATGTCACGGCATGTGGACAGAACCCATTTCCTTACTCAACTTGATGAACATTCAACAGTAAAGCCAAAAGTGAGGTATTGCTAAGGAAGGCACTCAGAAACAAAAGGTAGTTAGGAAGTAGACAGAAATATATACATCCCATGTGATGCTATGGTGGCAGCAGATCAATGGTGATTTCTTCAATGTGGCCCCTTAGCAGAAGACAGCAGAAAACCTCTAATTCTGCAGGGGGCCCCACATTATATTTATAGTTAGTCACCTGTAATAGAATACAGCGGGCCTTTTCTTTCCCAAACCCTCCAGGGGTGTTGGCTCTTCTAGATCTCTCCTAGATTTGTTTAACTCATTCACCCCTACATATTTAAACTGGACTTGCCCAGTCATTGATTTGGTAAGGTTCAAATGAGACTGTAGGGGTGAATGAGTTTAAGAGGATACAGAGTGTATCTACTATCTGTGATGTTGCTATTAACACTACTGTGAGCTTGTCACAATGATTTTATGATAATTTCGCCAAGTGAGACTCACTTAAAAAATAGAATATTATGTTTTTTCTGCACTGTTTTGTAAAATTGTTCTCAATATTTTATTTAAAAAGTACTATTTTGTTTAAAAAAAAATGTAAGATGACAACAGATATTTTGTTTTTAGATGTGTAATCTATTAAAGTGTTTTTTTTCAGTTTTAAAGACAATTGTGTTTAAGAAAATTTTAATTACAGCGTTCCATCTCAATTCAGAAAGTGTTTTAAGGTTTTATTTCTGTCTGTTAAAATTTGATTTAATGTGCTCATTGTCAAAGATATTTCCATTTACCCCCCCCCCCCCCCCCCCAAGGATTAAATGATTAAATAGTCATAATGATAATGTTGTATTAAAATGTATTAAGGTACAGTTGTTCGTATGGTATGATAAAGCATACTGTTTTTGCCGTAATTTAGTGTCCAGGGGCTTGAAAAAAATTGGCTAAAGGGAGCTGCTTTACTGTTAAGATGTAGTTTGGTTTGGTTGGTTTAAGATTGTTTAACGTCCTATCAACAGCTATGGTCATTTAAGGACTTCCTCCCCTGTGTGCAAGATGCATGAGTGTAGTGAATGCGTGTGTGTTTTGGGAGGCTGCGATATGTTCGGGTTTGTCTCCTTGTGATAGCGCGGAACTGATGCCGACTTTATAGTGTACCTCACTGAAACATACTGCCGGAGACACCCAGCAGGACGCCCCACCCGGTCACATTATACTGACAAATGGGCGAACCAGTCGTCCCACTCCTAAATTGCTGAGCGTTTAGCAGGAGTAAAAAATACCCTTTTTACAGACTCTGGTATGTCTCGGTCAGGGGACAGAACCCAAAGCCTTCTTCACAGGGGCGAACGCTCAACTAAAGGCCAAAAGTTAGGTATTGTCAAGGGAGACATTAGGAAGAAGAAAGTTGTTTAGAAAGAAGAGAAAAGATAAGATCCCAAATTTAGTCGCCTCTAACGATCATGCAATGGGGGCAGCAGGTACAATTCTTAGGGACGTATTAAGATATAAAACCGTTGTGTGAATTTCTGTAAAGGTGACATGACAACTGTCACACTCAAGGGGAGACTTCCAAAGTTGTTTCTTCTAAAACATTCTCGTCAGATTCTGATACTGTAGTGTCAGATACAAAGTATATATTGTACTATAATTTGTTCAGAATGAAGCGTCATGTTTAGGAAAGGAGCCGCTTTTAATATTTCATTTCAGTAATTTAAGAGCCCATAAAAAGGGGAGGGCCTTCATAAGGGGTTGGGGCACTTTAAATTACAGCCAAGTAATATGGTGTTCACTATAACAGTGGGCAGTCAGTTTTTTGGGGAAAAAATAGAATTTGTTAAAATCCTATTAAAATCAATTTATCTTCTTGGAGTATATAATTATTCCAGTTTTGTAGCTTTGAGTTTCACTGGGCCTCTGCTTGCTCATCTGTCCTTTCATGTGTAATCACAAACATCACTGGGCCGAGTTTATATGTGTGTATGTTTCTTTGTAACCATGTACTATGCCTCACTAAGCTGCTACGCTAAATGTACTTTGGTCATAAATAATTTAGTCTCACCTGTAACATCTACCAGGTATCTAGATCAATAGTGAGGTTACCATGGTGTAGGGGTTTAGATCAATGAAGGAAAACAATCTATGCTATGGCCTTAAGGAACGCTAGGACAGTAACGATTCCCAGTTAATACTCTGTACCTGTCGGCCGTTTATTGTATAGTGATAATGGGATGGCTCTATTCAGAGTAAGGCTAATCAAAACTAGGTACTGCATGCCTAGCTTGAGATTAGCCTGTCCATTTAAAAGATGTGTCTGTCGTATTAAGGTCTGTCAGTCTGGTAGTTTTAGTGGGCATAAAGGATCCTTCTGACCACACCCAAAAACTGTTATTATGAATTTGAAACTCTTTTTTCTTGAATTAAATTTGAAGCTTTGATAAATCATTTCTGAAAAAAAACCCAATACCTTTGTTGGATTTTTATGAGAAAAAAAATGGTGGTGAAATAAACAGATATATTCACCAACAGGGTTTGCAGGCAGTTGAAATTGGGATAGAGCTAGAAGGGAGTTGAACCCTTGTTGAACCCTTGTTGAACCCTTGACCTTCGATTGTGATAATAACCGACACTCAAACCGACTGCATCAGCTACCTGGTCGAAAGAAGTGTGCTGGCTTAATTGATCTACAGTTATATCGAAAATGAAATTAAGGGGAGGTTACTGTGTATAAGAAAAAACAAAGTCGAGCAAGACAGGAATGTTCACAGGAAGTAGAATGGTTATGGTGCTAGGCCCGTGATCATGTTTTAGTTGCGTCACTGATGACATACTCGCTGGTTCCTACTGACTTTTGGCTACAGCGATTTTCTCTATAGCTCAATCGGTTAAGACCAGGTGAATGTTTAAGAGTTTTAAGGCCCGTATATATATAGATATCTTTGTTGTAGGCCATAGCAATTGAGTTAATTCTGGTAAATAAATGGCATAAGGGGCCGGGATGGCCCAGTGGTTTAGGGGTCTGACATTCTGCTACCACTATAGCCTCCACCACTTGGTCGCTGACTTGAGGCCTATGTGGGGCAGTCGCCAAGTACTGGCTGCAAGTCGGTGGTTTTTCTCCGGGTATTCTGCCTTTCCTCCTCCACCAAAACCTGACACGTCCTTAAAAATGACCATTGCTGTTAATAGGACGTAAAACAAACAAGTCAAATGACATGGGCCTCAACACGGAGGCTAACTCATTTTCGTGAGCCAAATATATAAAATATAAACTTTTATTAATTTTACAATAATTATAAAACAAGTAATTTCAACTGATGTTAATCACTCTTGTTGGTCCGAATGATAGTTAAAAAGTAGTCTTAATGTGGGAGGAAACCGGAGTACCTGGAGAAAATCCACATGGATCGGGCAGGAGACCCCCAACACCTTTTTACATCAGCTCGTGAGCCTAAACATCATTTAGAAATGCAAAAATAAATATTACCAGTTTCTTTCCAACTTCATTGCATATGTGATTCATTCGGTTAGTTGCACGAACAATGCCTCCTGCTATAATGCAGGCAATATGCTTTATCATATATACACTTACTACATGACCTACATATTCAATTCACCTAACTTTCAGAACTTTTTAATGTTAAATCATATTGAGCTTGATATGAAAGGTCTGATAAAAATATTAACTTCGTCTACTGAATATTTCTTAGAAAATAAAATAAGTTTGAACTATTATAAAAATTGCAATAACATACATTATCTGTTTTAAGGATGGTTTAGTATGTAAGGTTAAAATTATGGATTCTGATATTGCAGATCCCCAACCATGGCGGGTGGACTGTTCGCAGTCGACCGAGAATTTTTCTTCAAGATTGGAGCTTATGATAATGGCATGGAGGTATGGGGAGGAGAGAATCTGGAAATATCCTTCAGGGTAGGTCAAATGTCATCTCTGATGGCCATACATCTTAATAATAAGGTCATCTAGAGGTCAGTCATCCAGAGAAGAGGATAAAGATCACTAGATACAAAGGATTTTTTAGCCCACCATTTTATCAGATGGTGGGCTGTTCGAATTGCCCTTTGTCTTTGTTCATTGTCCGTCCATCTGTATGACGTTCATTCTTGCACAATTCTAGTTGTCACAACATCTAGTGTGGTACAGGATAGATCTCTCTGGAATTTCTTATGCAGGTTCCCTTGCATGTTTTACTTTGAGACTTTATGAGTTCTGTGTGAGCGTTGACAATGACAATAACAATGACAATGACAATATAACAATGAGTATTGTCATTAACAATGACAATGGATCTTGTAGTGTTATTATAGGATTCCGTACATATGTATGTCATCGCTCTAGCAACTTAATTATGAAAACGTCACTTCCAAAGTAACCATGCATGTGAAGAATTTATTTAAAGCCATTTGGATGCTCATTTGAAAATGTAAAACAGTCAAATATCGCTTATCAGAGAATGAATAATTTACACTTTCAAATTATATTAATTTTCGAAATATATATGTTAACACAGATTCTGGTTTAATGTGTAGGTAATATTTGATGTTTAAGCTTGAAAAAAAAAGTTTAAATATATACTAGTTAATGTTCTCTGATCATCTGGGTCACACATCTGTCTGTCAAAAAGAAGTCGGAAAGAATTACTGTAAAATCATAATTTTCGAGGGACATTCAATTTTGTTTATTTCGTGGATAACAAAAAAACACAAAATTAAATCCCCACGAAAACATAAATTTGGTATGATATAGGTAGGGGAAAATCAGAAATCAGCAAAATATGATGTCCTTGAAACAGGCTAGTATATGAAAACCACGAAATTTTAACCCCACGAAAATAGATGATTCTACAGTAGGTAATGAAGTAAGCTTGCACACACAGCACAGTTTGTCTAGTCTGTATAGGTGAAAAGGGCGTAAAATCTTCATCTTAATTTACCTGCTCAGGTGTGGATGTGTGGAGGCAAATTAGAGTTCATCCCTTGTTCTAGAGTTGGCCATATCTTCCGCGCCAGTCATCCCTACACTTTTCCAGGTAAGGAACAGTTTGTTTGTGATAGCTAGTGTATTAACTATAATATCATATACAATATGCCTTACAGACAAATCTTAATAGACTGCCAACTTACATCAAGATCCCTTCTTCCCGTTTTCTCAAAAATTCCATTGTATGTTTCCTACAATTTATCATCAAAACCCCTTTATAATGCCAAAATTTTCTTTGGAAAATACTGGCTTTATAATGAGGTTAATCTAAATATAATGTCCATGTTCCATTTGCCACCTTGCTTACTGCCAACATATTACAAGACCCCTTTTTCCCATTTTCTCAAGAATTCCTTTGTACGTTTCCTTCAATTTATCATTTATACAGCAAAAATAAAGAGGTTTATCTTGATTCCATGCACTTATCCATTTGCCACCTTTGCTTACTGCCAACATATTTCAAGATCCATTTTTCCCAAGAACTCCTATGTACGTTTCCTCCAATTTATCATTGAACCCCTTTATAATGCCAAATTTCTCTGGGCGAATGGTGGCTTTATAATGAGGTTAACCTTAAATTTGATGTTCATGTTCCATTTGCCACCTTGCTTATAATTACTGCCTACATATTCCAAGGCCCCTTTTTCCTGTTTTTTTTCGAAAATTCCTCTGTATGTTTCCTTCAATTTATCATCGAACCCTTTTATAATGCCAAAATTTCTCTGGACGAATGTTGGCTTTACAACAAGGTTTTACTGTACATCAGTGCTGCACAGTGTAGATACACTGACGCTCAGAGGTAACTGGTCACTTCATGTTGTATGATTGGACTGAATACTTAAAAATTTATACTAATGCATCACATGACAAGAAATTAATTTTTGATTTTCAGGAAACAAGGACACTCATGGTTTAAATTCAATGAGACTGGCGGAGGTTTGGATGGATGAGTACAAACGTCTATTCTACAGTCATCGCCGAGATCTCCTGGTCAGTTCAAACATATTATTACCAATTTAAGGTCCAGTCCCTTGCTGTTTGTTTCAAGGAAAAATCCTCTGAATAGTTTAGCCAATTTTTTTTGTATATTTTCAAAAATATCTGCAGTAACAGCTGTGCAGCTTGAAGCAGTTACATAAGGGTAGGTTTAAGTAGAGCAGAGGTCAAGGTTACTATCAATACAAAATTCGTTTCTGCACAATCAATAAAGTTCCCATTTGCTTAACTTAATTCATACACTGTTTCCTTACTAAATGTGCTTGCTTGGGATTCTTTTCCGGTCAGAAGTTAGGGTATCTGTTTCTATAGATAGATAATAAGTTTCTATTTGATAACTCTAGCATTCATGGGCCGATTATTCTTAAAAAATCATCAAACACTGCTTCCTTATGGAAAGAGCTGACTTAGGATTGCTTTTCAGGTCAGAGGACAAAGGTCGAGGTCACTTTCTCTATTGAAAGAAAACTGTTTTTGCATAATAGCTTGGGTGGCAAGATCAAATTTAAACTCAAACCCTGTCGTTCCTTGGCTCCAACTCTAATGGGGGGGATTAGTATTGCACCGCGTTACCTTGTTTACTTCATGTTTATTGATCGATGATTGATATTTCCTGTCTGATGGTCTCGCCTGTATTGACAGATGATCTGACAATGTTGACATGTGAATTTCAGGGACAGGATTATGGAGATATATCTGAAAGAAAAGCCCTCCGTGAAAAACTCAAGTGTAAAAACTTCAAATGGTACCTGGATAACGTGTACCCAGAAAAGTTCATACCCGACGAAAATGTACATGCCTGGGGCATGGTAAGTTGGTGCATCAAACCAAGGTGTATGTGAGAGACATTTTGGTATACAAATCAAACTCCACCATCATAGCCTATTATTGTCACCAAAACAATACAGCTACATTTGATTAAGTATAATGTCACCTCTTCTGGGTGGATTTGAATGTGTATGTTGAAATTCGCAACAGTAAGCACTAGTTTGCATTGGCTTTAGGTGATATGAACTGAAAAAGGAAAATTTCACTTTGATGTAGATTCACAGCAATAACAGGCTAATAACAAACAGTAATAAGTACTTATTTAATTTCTGCAAAAAAAATATCAAAAAATCTGAAGACCTGTGATAAATTATTAAAAGGAGAAAAGACACAAAATTGTATCCTGGATACAAAGCAATGAACAGTTTACATACACCAGATCCCTCAGTGTATACAGGTATATGTACATTGTGATATTACAGGTAAGAAACCCGAGCAGTAACCTGTGCCTTGATACCCTGGGCAAGGATGAGAAGATGACGTTTGATGTTGGATTATTCAGCTGTCAGAACGGTGCCAGTGCTAGTGAGGTAAGTCGAGTTACCCTTCCTGGTCAGTGTTGCTGTATGCTGTATAAGTGCATATTGAAGTGTTTTACTCTGCAGACTTTATGACACAGATATTTCGATGTATATCCGTGCATAAAGATAACGCGCACCATAGAATATGTTTGTTGCCAACAGCGTTCATACTACTGTATTCGCCGTCAAAATGCAGGTCAATCCTTAACTTTAAATAAAAGAGTGTGTTAATCTGTTATAGTATGTCAATAAAGAAAATAACAACAGAATACCTTAGTTCCAACAAATCCATAATTTGAACTCAAAATCTGTTAAAAAAAGGGCAAAATATTAACAAAGGGAAGATTTGCATGAAAAGTCGTGGAAAAAATCGAGAATAATAGGACCAAGTGTTTGGGACGGATAAACGTCTTGTGCTTCTTCGACAATACCTGCCATGTAAATCTAGGTCAGATCCATATAATGTCACGTCCTCATAGCGAGAACCAAGGTACTGACAACAAAACAACATGGCGGACTGATCAACGTAGCGAAAAATTATCTCCATATCACACATGAATGAAATCATGATGGCGACCCTAAAACTTGTCCATAGTCGCTATCAACCTGCATCTTCTTCTTCACCTCTTCTTCTTCTCTTCTTCTTCTTCTTCTTCTTCTTCCAATAATCTGCATACCACCTCTGGTGTATTGTCGCAGACCTTTGGAAACCCTGTGTTGTGAATTTGACTGTCAGCACTTAATATCACGACTTCCTTGATAGATGTCAAGCTCTTAAATACCAAATTAACTGGCAAATGAAACCCACCATAAGTTGGTAAGCAGGGTTGTTACTTCAAGAAAGGGAAAGTTTACATTAAACTGCTTATTGTACAAATAAGTAGTAAGTTGCTCTGGTTAATCATATTGTAAAAAGGGCTGAAGAAGAAAAGTCCTTGATTTTTGCTCACAAGGTTATATACAATAGACAGGTCAATGAATCTAATAAGACAGAACATCATTGAATATCTCTGTATGTCAGTATGTTTTGTAGTTTGTTAAATTGTAACATAATAATGTTACATAGTGTATCAATGTGTCTCTAAGCATTTTATTGAGGAATTGCATGAACCTGAAGTATGTCACTGTTTGTGTTATCTGCAGGTATTTTCCCTGAGTATGGAGAACGAGCTTCGGCGAGAAGAGGGATGCATGGCGTACAACGGAAAAAGTGGTGGACACCCTCATCTGGTCAATTGTAACGGGGCGGCCAACCAGAAGTGGAAACACGACAAGGTAACGTTATGGTTTCTCAAAAGTTTCAAGCCGATGCATTTAACATAATAGATTTTAAGGATTGGAATACAGCTGTTCATTCACGTAATGGTGAAAAACATGACTAAAGTTTTTGTTTTGTGGTGGTCAACCAGACATGGGCACACAACACAGTCAATGTAACAGTCATTAAAGGCAAGGAAATGTGATAAAAGAAAACATTACGGCCGTCAAATATTTGGGAAACGTTAAAAGATATATGTTATAGCATTAGAAGGCTGAAAACCTAGTAAACGTATTATTTGTGTACTAGTTTTCAGGGTGGAAAATATGTGACATAAACGTAACTGCTAATAAGAAACCATGTAAGGCAAATAAAGTGGCCTTGAAGTGTGGGAAACCGTGTGAACAAATGTGGAGATAGAAATTAATGTTAGAGCCTTCAAAGGGTGGGGAACCAATTAATACATGAGCCTTCAAAGTGTTGGGAACAGCAATTATGTAAGAGCCAAAAACAGGTGGGGAACAGCAAGTAATGTGAGAGAGTTCAAAGGGCGGGATCAGGAATCGATGTAAGATCCTTCAATTGTGAGGAGGGTGGGGATCAACATTTAATGTAAGAGCCTTCAGAGGATGGGGATCATCATTTAATGTAAGAGCCTTCAGAGTATGGGAATCATCATTTAATGTAAGAGCCTTCAAAAGAAGTTCAATATGTACGGCAGGCTGAACTTGAACGAAGAAAGGAGCAGTTTTCTGACAGGATTTTGAAAATGGTTGGCCAATAACTTACTCTTGCTCCATGATATATAAGAATCTACATATATCTATATATATAGAGAAATGTCTGTTGTAGAATACTGGCACCATCATCCATACAGAGAGTGGCTTGTGTCTGGACCGGGAAAAGGTCGAGTCTGGGGGTTACAGCATGGTGATCACCTGTGTAGCCAACAAGGACTCCCAGAAGTGGGCCTTCGAACACTATCTGGATGTGTAACACGGAATCTAGTCCGGTCTCCTCACATCTATACAGCAAGCTGCGGACAATTCTGCCAGCAGTACAGCTTGTCACAAAATGTTGAAGCCTGCAACATCACTACAGCAAGTCACAAAATGTTTTAGGTCTGCAACAGGCTGAAAAAACAGCACAGTACTGAGGACAGAAATCTGCAGACAACCTTGAAACTGCTAGAGTAATTGACCAAATTGTTAAAGGTTGTAAGTTTACATTGATTACTTTTCAGTGATATCTGCTTTCATCACACTTACACATTATATCTTCATATTTGATATTTTTTCCACAAAATTTCCGAAAAAAATATATGAGTCTTTCATGTTTTCTGACACTGTATAACACAAAACCCCCAATTTTATTTAAAAAGTTTATTTTTTTTAATAATTTTCTGCAGTTGCAGTACATGTACAAACACAAGGTTAAGATACAGATTTTGTTTGCCTAATCTCAGTAATCTGCATGTTTTATAACATTTAAAAAAGTGACGTTAAAATCAAAATATCTCTTCATGACATATGTAAAAAATATCAAAAAAAAAATAACAAAAATTGTACCTACAGGTAATTTTGTATGAACAAAATAATTTGTGACCGTAAAACTGCACGAGGAAGTACCAATTAATATTCCATGTTATTGAGTAAATGGGAAGTACTTTGAATCGGTGAGCGTTTACATGTTGTGTGTGCACAGAATAGTGTAAATATTATTTATCATTGTATGTCGTGAGGTAAATGAATTTTGATAAACGTGGATCTGGGTATATATCTGTATATAGTATGTGGGATCACCAAAATAGAATCTCAAGGTATGCTAACGAGATTTCTACCTATGGACATGTGGCTATACCCCTGTTTCACGTTATGTTAACATGTACAGTTAATTTATGTACAAAATGTGTATATATTGATGTTGTATGAAACCGTTTTTTTTCTCTTTTCATTATGTACGAGTGTTGTATTCTGTGCAACGGCGTTATTACACTTCTAACTGTACTCATTCCTTTAGAATTCACTAAATGTCTAGCAGTGGTATTAACTACTGGTAAATTATAAAATTGAAGCAGTACTACACAGTACTTTAGAGTTTATGTGCAATAAGATAACTTCAGTACTTCTCCACATTTGATGCGTGGTTGAAAATTTTGCAATTAAGACATATTTTAGAACACTTCATTTTCATACAGAAATATTTTCATGATTGTGTTTCAAATTTTCTTTTCACCGGCATTCGAATGTGTAACGTGGGCAAACTGTGTTCATTTGCACCCAACTAACAGAGCAATTCTATTAGAGAGAATAATTGGGTTCACAGACCGCTTTGAAACTCCCCATTACAGTGCTTTGTCTTGTTTACTGAACCTGTATTAAGATATCTAGACCACATGAAACAATAAGAAACCATTCTATGAACTTACTAAAGATGGTCTCTTAATTCAGGTTTAACTTTTCTGTACAGGAAAACCCCGTCATACTGCCACCATTTGTTTAGAGAAATTTTGGCATTATAATAAAGGGGTTTGGTGTTATGTTGAGGAAAAGGTGTAAAGGAAATCTTAAGAAAAAGAGAAATAAGGGACCTTGAAATATATTGTCCGTAAGTGAGATGGAAAATGAAATAAGGGACATTACATCAGGGATTGACTGTATGTGTTCCATGCATTACCTTGCCAGCATAAATTAAAACAGATTCACAACATGTGAATGCATTAACCAAATATCTTTTATAACAAAGCTTTACAATAAAACAATTTAATAACTCGGATATGCTTATCTTGAAAAAGGGAGGCAATTCTTAGCGCATATCAGAGATGACAAGTATAGGATAGCATCCTCCACACCAATTCAGAGCTTTAACAAACATGTATAGGAAAGTGTAAAACTTGGTTTTGAACTTTGCAAATAATATCACATGAACATATTTACCATTTCTGGTCATGATTTTAATACGACATCAATACAGTTCATAGGAGACAGCTTTAAACCCAGTTTTCATTATGATTTGATTTTGGGAAGTTGCAATAATATATATTGTACATGCTGCACACTGTTGGTCCAGGTGAACTTGGTCTAAACTGGTTAAGGCATGTGCTTTGATCATCCTACCCACAATCCCGCAGCCAAATTAAGGTTCTGTTTCCTCTCATAATCAAGGTTATTCTCATTGATCTTCCATTTAGACATTCAGATTGTCATTTATTTACCAGTTCAGCAGTGAATTTGTACGAGGCTGTAAGGCCAAGTTCAGATCAGGACAAAATCTGCAAAATACTGATTGGTGAAAGTAAAACTGTGGCGAAAAGTTAAACTGCGGCAAAAGTGTCCTGGTACTGTATAACATGAAATGTTTGTGGTGTATAAACATTCGTTATTTCTGTGGTTGCTATTGAACCATGAAAATGAATACAACAAATTTGGAAGACATACAATGTACTTGTCTACTGTTTGTAAATATAGGATACCCACGAAAGTTTGTACCACGATACTGTCTGTAAATATAGGATACCCACGAAAGTTTGTACCACGATACAATCTAAATGGTCTCAGATCACGTAGGAAAGTACCCACGAACATTTCATGTTGCACAGTATACAGAGTATAAATAAATTTAAGTGGCTAACAGTATTAAAAAAATATACCTCGGACACCTAAATAACATTGTCTTTAATTAGCAGAAATACTTATTTACCAGATCTGATGATAGCTAGTATTATTTAAGCTGACAGGTGTTGATCTGTGATATAGCAAAGATGCTGCTGAATTATACATGTATGTATCAACACAGTGGGGTTATTTTTAAACATAAACACAATGTTATTTTTGTAAACAAAAGATCTACATCAGATTTTTTGCGAACAAAAATTGTAGTTTATTAATCCAGATTGTAAATATATATCGGAGGACGCATAGTTACCGGTAATCATTAATGTATATAACAAAAGAAGGAAATTTAGGTACTTTTCACTGTATGTTAACTGGAGAGATTTTACAGTTATTAACTCATTCACCCCTGAAATCTCATAATGGACTATTCCAACCTTTGAATTGGAACTGTTCAAATGTGTCTTTCAGGGGTGAATGGTCATGAGTTAATCATCATTGTACATAGATGAAGGGATTGTAGTTAATCATGATCATACTGCATATGGGGAAAACTTTCGCCCTGTCGCCTTATTGCCCTTCACATTACTCTGTATAGTATGCTATACACTAATAGTCACTGCCACAATTAACTCCCCCCTTGTTACAAGGGCAAAAAAGAGCAAAACATTTTAATGGGGCAACATTTTCTGGGTATACATTCTATTGTTTATCATGATTGTAATCATAAATCATGATTGTAATCATTAATCATGATTATATGTACACATATATATATATATGCTCTGGAGGATATTTTTCACATTTGGACATATCATTGTTCAAGTAGTTTCCTTTCTCATAAATAGTGATGAAATGTCCTATATATTAATTGATCATGACCGGAGACGGCGTGTGCTGTATGATGTATACACGGTGTGTTCTGTATTATGTATACGATTGTTACTGTTTACTGGTGTAATATATGCTGTTACATGTATACGAGTGCTTAATTTATTGGACTTTAGACTTATATTTGTGTGCAAGTTGTTACAATGCCTATTAGATGTATAGAAAGTTAATTCTGTCTCGAGAGATTCATGTCTGTAGGATTAACTCATTCACCCCTGAAATTTCATAATGAACTATCCCGTGTCTTCTGAGGTGAATGAGTTAACTGTGAGCTGGATGATTATTTATTTTTCAATATTTTAGTACATTGTGAAAGTGTTTAAGTTGAAGATGCATATACATGTATTGATAAGTGTCCAAAAATTTGACCAAATATGTAAATATATAGATGAAATATGTATCAAAATGTTAGGAGTTAATAAAGATCATTTTTCGTGTAAAAATTCAAAAACGTTGTATATACAGATGTATAAATGCAAAAATCAAGCGCTACCTATCATCCCAGAGATTGATTTTTACTATACATGTACTTAAAATTTCCCGATCATATGCTATTCTACTTTAATTTGTTTGATTGAATGAAAGTAATTCCGCAGTACTTATAATAACCATGTTTCATATAGTTCTGCTTAAAAGTTACAGATTAAGTGTTATACTACATAAAAGCGAGTGGATGTGTTTCAATGTCATGTGTGAATAAAAAAAAAAATATAGATGTAAATACTCTAGTTTTGTATGTCATAATAAAAGGGAGATAATTCAGGACATTTAGCCTCCTGTTTGGGAGGTTAAATACATATCGCAAATAGTTCTTGCCATCTTTTGGATGAAGATTCATGATTTCATATCCTCATTGACGTCTCTTTAAACCAGCAGAATTTCAGACATCTTGCTTTTTTCGCAACTTGAATGCATAGCATTGGACGGTTTTAACTTCTCACATTTTTCGCAATTTTTTGTCAAATATATAGGGTCATTGTTACTACTTTGAAATATCATTTATCTTGGTATATATAGCATAGCTGTCAGTGTCTGTGGTTGTAAACTGCTTAGCTTCATTTATGAATTTACCCAACACAATCTTAGAAGCTGTAATGCATGTATAATAGTTTCCCATGACATGTAATCCTTGGCTAGTGTAATGTATTAGGGTCCAAACGTTTCTCGATCATCTTAAACTCCTCATTAACATTACCTTGTCAGACCTTTTTTATGTAAAAGTATGTGGGTGTTATATTTGTTGGTGTTTTAAAATATATACATGCTAATCCGTAATTATTTTTGACACGTGTGTTGGGCAACGCAGGTGTCTAGGGGATTGAGTATACTTACAAGTTTGGTTAACATAGAATCACATATTCGCCACTAGCGCCACCACTTTCAATATATGTCCGATATCCTTATATGGAATCTGATTTCTCCTTATTTGGAATATGATGTCTCCTTATACATGTATTTATATTTAAAGGTGTTTGTTACTTAGAGAGTTATAAAATTCTTGTTTTAAATTGTTTGAGAAAGCATTTATGTGTATTATTGACAAATTTAGCAAACATGATATTGAAGATTATTTTCACAATTTCTGTGCTCAGGTGAGTCATTAACAGGACACTGACTTGATGTAGTGCACAACTATAAATGCCTTAGCATCTCAAAGCTGTAATTAAAACTGCACATGGTAATCTTTTTTCACATCAATATAAAAGCAACACTTGGAAATCACATCTGTAGATAGAAGCTTGAGTAGAGATTACCATTCATCATCAACATATTATTTATATAACAGGAGTTAAATTCCGTAACATCTTCATTATTTTTATGTGGTAAATGT